AATCAATATTGAAATTGTTGACCTAAAAGATCAACTAGACAAGAATAAGAGAAAACCAAGTCTCTATAATATAAATTCACTATAAGAAAGTAAACAGTATGATTACCTTTGCTAAATCTATCACAACTTCAGAGAGCTTGGGATAGCGTCTTTCAAGAGGTTCTGTTTCCTTGATTTCCGGCAACCTTACTCCAGCAAACACAGGATTTTTATAAAACAGCTCCTGATGTCTTGGAATTAGATTACCTGGAAGTGAGAATAGCACATATCTCTGTCATTATACATCATGATAGAAAGAGCAAAGAAATGGGTAAAGTGGATTGGACAAAAGAGTGGAATACTACTTATGGACTCGGGGCTCTCTCAGCATGCAAAATCAACCAAAACAGTGTTCTTATGGTGGTGGCACCCGGCAATCTTCATAGTGGTGTTAATGCAAGTTAACTCAAGAAAATTAACATTCTTATCTCAACCTACTCATTTAGAAAATTCACAAGCCACAATATATAGAACTGAAATCATAAGGGAGCACAGATAAAGGACAAGTAAAGAACATTTTATAATTTTTTAGATATAAGTACCAACACTTCTTTTCTATCAACAAAGCTTAAAGTGCTGTCCAAAACAATGAAAATATCATTAGTCATATGATCCGAATCTAATCTAGATAAATCAGTTCCACCCTTTAAGAATTTAATTTTAAAATTAAGATTAAATTGTTTTAATTTTTTTAATTAAAATTGTTTAAAAAATTCTTAAATCTACTGATTTTGTACCTGTGTCTAAGGTCTGATTTCAGCACTTTTATCTTTTTCTTCAATTTTAGTACCTACTCTAGTGTAAAATATGAAAATTCTGCTGTAAGAACCTATTGAATTGTTTATTGAATTTTTACCCTGGAAACTTAAAATCCAATAGTTAAATAAATCAAGTATTTTCCCATTATTTCCATTTTCCAAGTCCCATCTATGAACATGAAGTTGGTATTTCAACAAATGTAAGAAGACTTTGATAGTCTAGCTTTAAAATTCTGTCCAAAGCACTAAGATTAAACTACCTAGGAAGTCTCTGTGTCTCTCAGTTTGAAGGAGAGGATGAGGGTAATAGTCATATTACAGCAAACGCTTGCTAGCCCAAGGAAAATAAATCATCATTTGCATCCTCTACATGTGATTTACTGAGTGCAAAAGTACAGAAAAAATTTACAGTCTTTGCTCTTTTCTTTGTGGGGAGTGAGACAGGAGGGTGGATGAGAGCATGAATAAGACCATACGTCAGACAGGCCAAAGCCAGACTGAGAATGAACTAATATAGACAGATAGATGAGATTTTCCTATCTGCTCCCTGCTGCCACTTAAAACACATACCATCTTTAACATACCGACAACTTGTAAAACCAAGACAAGCAAAAACATAAGGGAAAAACCTCTAAAATTTAAAATGCAGATGTATAATCTTACCTAAACACATCATAATATGATATAGCTGATCAATATCAGAATCTCCAGGAAAAAGGGGTTCCCCCATGAGCATTTCAGTCACCAGACAACCAATGGCCCACACATCAACAGCCCTGGAATAGAAGAAATGTGGTATAAAATCTGGCATCCTACTATGTTTATTGTCACTGAGTCTGTTCTGCATATTACTACTTGGTATTTTGGGTATTGAGAACAGTAGTAGTAGCAAGCTTTAAATTGTCCATAAAAATACATTTCCCTATAAACTTCAAGTACTAATTCCCAATTTTACCCAAGTCAAATTTTCAGGAACTTCAATTATGTGACATAAGTGGGAAAAGGCTTCTGAAAAGTCAAAATCTTTATTATGTGTACTTTATTCTGGAAATAAGCCTTTTGGGTTTCCATTCAGAGCCTATTTGTTCTTTGTTTACACGTAACTCTAACAAGGTTGATCAGGCTATCCCACCATACACTGAAAACAGCATCCCAGAGGTTGTCGGAGACACATTCAGTAACAACAAGGAGAACTGATAGTAACAGGGGAAAAAAAATAGAAGAACCGTCTTAAAAATCAGTCACAAGAATTTAATGGGCTGGTGTCATTAGCATAGGGACAACTACCTTGAAATTTCTCTCTTTTTTTAAGATTTTATTTATTTATTTCACAGAGAGAGAGAGAGAGAGAACACAAGCAGGGGGAGCAGCAGGCAGAGGGAGAGGGAGGAGACTCTCCGCTGAGCAGAAAGCCCAACGACAAGGGGCTCGATCCCAGGACCCCGGGATCACGACCTGAGCTGAAGGCAGATGCTTCACCGACTGAGCCACCCAGGCGCCCCTACCTTGAAATTTCTTAAGGTCAGAGCTGAATTATAAAATGGTACAGGGGCGCCTGAGTGACGCAGTAAGTTAGGCGTCCAACTCTTGGTTTCGGCTCAGGTCATGATCTCAGGGTCGTGAGATCCAGCCCTGCATTAGACTCCATGCTCTGCACAGAGCCTGCTTAAGACTCTCCCTCTGCCCCTGCCCCCTCTCTGAAGTAAATAATTTTTCAAAAAAAATAAAATAAAATGGTACAAAACTTACAGTATAACAATAAAATGAGAACTGATAGTAATCAAGAAAATATTAAATGATGTGTGCACTGAAAACACAGAAAATACAGAAAACATTTTAGAAAGATTTCTACCCAAAGCAGTAGAAGTTACCATCCCTTCTTCTCTGAAGAATTCGTTCATGCAGATAATTCATGTTTTAAAAACACTTCACCCAATTATGTTTCCACCCCAATTTGCCCGCTCCACCTTGCCTCATTCCTACAGTGTCAGACTTATCCAACGTTCCCTCTCTTTACAAGTGATAAACATACCTAATTCCGACCCATCGTAAAACACAGACCACTTACTCACCTTGATTTCCCTACCTTTAAAATAAGTATGCTTTCCCCAACTCACTGCACAAAAAAAACCTTTAAAGGAGAAGCACCAAAAAGAACAAGTCACCTTATAAAGCTCCCTAAATGCAAAACTTCCTTTCAGTGTTAGAGGGATCTTTTATTATATTAGAAACATTCCATTTTATCAAGAAAAAAGTATTAAATCTGCCCTCCCTGCCCTCCACCCCCTTGTTGATATCTTACTTGCCATACTTGACATCACCAACCAATAGTTCTGGAGCTCTGTACCATCGGGTTGCCACATAATCAGTATAAACTTCCCCAGGGGCTGCCAATGTTCGCGCAAATCCAAAATCACACAACTTGACAACGCCAGACTGGGAGACTAATATATTCTCTGGCTTTATATCTCTGTGTATGATCTAAGAAAAAAAAACAGAATATGACACATATGGGCACATCAAGTTAGGCAAATTATTTTTTGAGCACCTGCCATGTGCAGGGTACTGTTTTTGTCCCTATGATGAATACAAATAAAAGCATATAAAATTGTTCCTGGCTTTAAAGTAACTGGGACCTGGCTAGGCAAGAAAGGACACTTATGCTTGAAATTTCACTTAAACAATCAAAGATATTGGATGAAATATATATTATTAAATACGAAATCAATTGTTCTATTAATGACTACTCTCAACACTAATGGAGTAAGACTATCACTGAACACTAGAGTGGTCATGGAAAATTTTTATGAAAGGAGTGCCTTCTAATATAGGTCTCTAATACTACGTGTGACCTGGATAAATATAGAAATGGAAGGACAATCCGAGTGAAGGAGAGTAAAAGAGCGAAGCCTGGTCCAAACTTCAGGCTAGGCAAGTGTCTCATTAAGTATGGTCTCTGGTAAGTTAATCATTGGCAAAATAATTATTTAAACTAAATACTTACATTGTGACTGTGACAAAATCCAATTCCATTAATAATCTGAAACAAATACTTTTGAACCAGTTGGTAGTCTAATCCATTGGGAAAGAGCTCCAAGTCATCAAGAATTGTATGGTCAACAAATTCAAAGACTAGGTACCATCGTTTTTTTTTCTTACACACTTCCAACAGATTCACCAGATTTTCATGCCTCAGTTGCTGTTGTAAAAAAAAATGCAAAATCATTTTTACAACATTGAATTATTTAGCAATCAGTCACAATCTAAAATCTTAGCATAAGAAAAACATAAATAAAGTTCATGAACAGTATAAACTGTTAAGAGAATATTCTTGTTTTTCAATTATAGTCAAAAGACCATACTGCCCTATTCTCCTCTCAAAGAACACAATAAAACCAATGAGGAAAAAAAAATGTAGCTCCATCTTTGATGAAACTAAGCAGGATCTATGACCCCTACCCACAACAAATGAGGTGGGACTGCCAAATGTAGTCAAGGTCAAAACAGAAGTTTAGGAAGCTACCAAGAGATGGCCTGTGGCTAAAAAGCTGGGAGAGCAGAGTAATCCAAAATTGGTGACATACCCTGAAAAGGAAAAAAAACAAAAACAAAAAAACAAACTCCTTCTTTGATAAAATAGGAACAAGATTCATGGGCTGTCAGTGAAAGCAACCCTGGAACTGAATGGTACCAAGGAACAGCAGGGAAGTGAGGCCTGAATAATCACACAGAAACTCCTCCGCTGGAAGCAATCTCTTGGTGAGGCCAAATAGAAGGCAAAATAACTCATTATGATCAAACCAGCAAATGCAAGGATAACAGAAGTCAATCCCACAAATCAGGCTTGCATTGTAAGGAACATTGTGAACCATGTTGGATTCCTGCTAGCCTGGAACAAGATCACAGTTTCTCCCCCAAATGAACCTTCTACAGATAGCTAGTCCAGGAAGGGCTTACTTTGTTACAAGATAAGAAACAATCAAAAAGAAATCAATCCAGGATCTATTCAAAGATACTATAAGAAAAGAGGAAGAAAGGGGAAGGAACAGAAATGGTGGATGAATACTCATCAGATAATGTCACCACCATTAAAGGGAAAGAAACTACTAGAACACAGCCCTGAAAACCTTCAACGAAATAATGATCCAGGAAATTTATACCCAACAAAATTGTCATTCATATAAAAGATGACAATGAAAATTCTGAATATAAACAGTGAATCCATTAGTGAGGGACTAAGTCTTAGACAAATGTGGGCATCATGGTCACAAAACTGAAAGTGAATATTTAAAACCTAACAAGGCACAAATGATATTACTAACAAATTTTGAAGAAAGAAGAAATGATGCAAACAAGAGTGTATGTGTGCTGATTTCCTTGTCAATGGGTCAAAATTATATTTGCAAATTGCAATTTTAAATTACAAGGCCTAATTATAGGTTTCATGGTAAACACTAAGATAAATAAGATGTTTTTGAAAATCAGATGAGTGGCAGAGAAAAGGAAATAGAAACATAATAATTACAAAGGATTAAGTATATACATAATTCTATAGTTATAAAAGTAACAAATAGGAAAAAAATAGGAAAAAGTAAAAAAATACTAAAAAATAATTACAAAAGGTAATTTCCAAATTATCAAAGGAAACATATCCAATATTTTAAACATAATTCAGAGATTATATAGAAAAATATTTTTAAAGGTGTACTAAAACAGCATAATATTATAAATAATGATAACCAATATTTACATACTCCTTACTATGTTCCAGACACTATTCAAGCACAAAAACCCTATGAAATAGATACCATCATTATTCTATTTTATAGATGAGGAAACTAAAGCACACAGAAGTTAAGTAACCGATCCAAGGTCACAAAGCAATAACTGCTAGAGGCAGGATTAGAACCCAGTCACTGTGACCTCTGTCTTTTCCTGAAAACATTTCATTTTTGTTTAGTTCCTCCTCCATGTCTAGAATGTCTGCGATATAAGCACACCCAGACCTGCAGCTGACTTGAATGCAAAATATTTAGATTTCTTATTCTTAACCACTAAGCCATACTGACATTTTTTTAAGATTTTATTGATTTATTTGAGAGAAAGAGAGCAGGAGGAGGGAGAGGGAGAAACAGACTCCTCGCTGAACAGGGAGCCTGATGTGGGGCTTGATCCTGGGACTCCGGGATCATGACCTGAGCTGAAGGCAGACGCTTAACCGACTGAGCCACCCAGGCACTCCCATACTGACTCTTAAAGTGAAAACTAAGACTGCACTTATCTGTTACATCATAACTATAAATGGGCTAAACTCACCTATTAAAATAAAAGATTCCAGATTGAATCACAAAGCACTTTCCAAATATATCACTGGTTAAGGGAATTAAGAGGTATCCATACAACGAAATAAACTGCAGCAATTAAAAGAAAAAGGTAGAGGCAGCTGGGTGTTACCTTTTCAAAAATCAAGGTAAGTAGATAAATAAAATATGTATCAGTGTGTGAAAAGAGAAACTGAAGCACATTAAAATTTATGTGAGCTTATTTGATCAAACGTCAATTTGCACAAGGCATCATCAAACTGAGAGAGGTTAAGAGTACTCTAGTGGTAGAAGCTAAGGGAAAGGATTTTATAGAGCAGACGTGGAAGCAAAGTGAGGAAATTATTTAATTGGCTGTCCTGTATGTGGTTGCATTACTGGGAAAAGCCTAGTTTGCTGTTTGTGAGTGGTTGTTTTTAAGTTCCAGTATCTGAACTGGAGCAGACTCACAAGTGGAAACCTTTGCAGGAACCAATGCCAAGGCAGGAAAACCTGAACTGCAATTGACAAATTACTGGAGGCTCAGCGTGGACAAATCTAAAAGTTAAAAACTCCAGAAGAACCCAATCACGAGGGGCCCCCACAACATTGTGAGATTTATCTCCAGGAGCTTAGCCAGATTACCACAGTCAATTTTGGAGAAAACTCTCCTCCTTCCATAGGAGGAGGAGAAAGGAACCATTCTGAAATATGCCAGAGCTGTGTTCTTAACAAGGCCTGCCCTCAGCAAAAACTAGTTAAGCAGAGTCTAAGCAGCTGTGGTATTATCAGAGCCTAACTGGCCTGAGGAAGGGAAATACTCAACTTCATCCTACTCTAGCCATCCTGTCCCACCTAAGGAAGGGAGAAAAAACTGAGAAACACTTGCAAAGTTCACTGTCCAGAACTATAGGCAGACTAAAAGACTGAGACCTACCATAAGACTATAAAGCTCTTTGCCTCCCCCTTACCTCACCTCCACATTACTAAAGCCTATTTAGAGCAGTTCCTTCTACCCAGGACATCATGCCCAGCTATCAAGAAAATATTACAAGAGGGATGCCTGGGTGGCTCAGTCGGTTAAGTGTCTGCCTTCAGCTCAGGTCATGATCCCAGGGTCCTGGGATGGAGCCCCTCATCGGGCTCCCTGCTCAGCGGGGAGTCTGCTCCTCCCTCTGCCTGCCACTCCCCCTACTTGTGTTCACTCTCTCTCTCTGACAAATAAATAAATTTTTTAAAAAGAATAAAAAAAAGAAAATATTACAAGATATGCCAAAAGGCAAAAAACAAGAGACAGAACAAGTATCAAAACCAGACATGGCAGGGATGCAGGAATTTAAAGCAACTGTGATTGATCTGCTAAGGGCTGTAATGGGTAAAGTTGACAGCATGCAATAACGGATGGGCAATGGAAGCAGACAGATGAAAATCCTAAGAGCCAAAAAGAAACGCTGGAGAGGGGCGCCTGGGTGGCTCAGTCGTTAAGCGTCTGCCTTCGGCTCAGGTCATGATCCCAGGGTCCTGGGATCGAGTCCCACTGGGATCGGGCTCCCTGCTTGGCGGGAAGCCTGCTTCTCCCTCTGCCACTCCCCCTGCTTGTGTTCCCTCTCTCGCTGTGTCTCTATCTTCAAATAAATAAATAAAATCTTAAAAAAAAAAAAAAGAAACGCTGGAGATAAAAAACACTAACAAAATGAAGAATGTCTTTGATGGGTTTATTTGTAGACTAGACACACCTGAGGAAATAATCTCTAAGCTAGAGGATATGTCAATAGAATTCTCAAAAAACAAAAATAAAAGAGAACAGGGACAAGAAAAGAAAAATACCCAAAGACTGTAGGACAACTATAAAAGGTATAACGTACATGTAATGGGAATACTAGAAGAAGAAGAAATAGAGAAAGGAACAAAGAAAATATTTGAGGGGCGCCTGGGTGGCTCAGTCGTTAAGCGTCTGCCTTCGGCTCAGGTCATGAT